TTAGAAGCCACTTTGAAGATACCAAAGTATAGTACAACAACTCTTGATAATCTCCTACCTCTTTTGTCTGTAACTCACTATTATTTTTCTATTTGTTTTCCTGAGAAACTATTTTGTAGACAATAATATGTAAAATGATAACCATTGGAAAAAAAAAAAAAAAACGAGGCCATCATAACTTTCTGCGATAGCCCAGCTGTGTTTCCCAGACTCATGTACTTTTATGTTTGCTCTCTCCCTCTTTCTATTTATGTGCCCAAGCTCGCTCTGCAGAGCCAATTTCTCTCTCATTCTTCATTTTTGCTTTCTTGAATAAACTTTGCCACTGCAAAATAAAAAAAAAAAAAAAATGAAACGGGACAGGCTATCACATTTAGACTTGTAACCTGATCATTTGCTTTAAGACTTCCTGCTCGGATTAATTTGGAGACAGGGAAGAGGAAGAAGGCGGCAGAGCAGAACAAAGAGGAGGAGAGAGTGAGTCTAGAGAAAGTGAAGAAGAAGAGCTAGTAGATGTTCTTAGCCAAGGGTCAGGAAAAAGCGGAACGAACCTCTTTGCGAGTTTCTATCTAATGTTGTATATTTTAAATGCATATTTTGCTGAAAAGTGAATTATTTAGTGATAATGCTTCTGATGTGGAAGAGAGTGGTAAGAAAGATCATCCTTTCCTGGTCCTCTTCATCACCGTCACCATCACCATCACCACCGTCATTCACCCTACCACTACCCCATCACTGCTACCACCACCACTACTTCCACCACCGCCCCAGACAAGGAAGCATAACTTCTCTGGGATTCACCATGCACACCCATAGCAGTTGCTCTCTTGCCTCGATCCAAGCCAATTTTGCTGCAGCCCTGTCTTGGTTACTTTTCTCTCATTGCTGAGACAAAATACCTGACACCCAGAATTAAGGAAGGAAAGGTTTATTTAGCTCACAGTTTGTGGAGGTTTCAGTCCATACTCAGCTGGCTCCAAGGCACGGTGGCACATGGCAGAGGGCAACAGTTCATGGTGGCTGAAAACAGCAAAGCAACACAAGTAAAAGGGGGAAACAATGGCAATGGCAAGCAGCCTTTTCCCTCCCTTACACTGTATGCAGACTACCAGCCCCAGGGCAGGTGTAAAACTCACATCCATAATTCCAACACTGGACCGTGAATCAATCATAACTCTAGAAGCCTGCTGCACAACTGCATGTGACTTTGCAGGGACATCCAGACACAAGTGATAACAAGCCTTTTCAACTTTCCTGTCTTGAAGGAATTCCTCATCCTCAAATGAAGGCCCTGAAATGCCAAAGAGAAGCTGGGTCTCAATGAGAGGAATTCTTTTATGAAATATGTCTTGGTGCTGGGTATGGTGGTTGGGAAAAGCCAAGATAATATGGCAACAAGGAATTCCTCTCTCAGGTAGAGATGGGGGAAGTCTACAAGATTTGTTTGCTGGTAGACCTGAGTGCAGAGGACAAAGCACTGGAAACTTTTAGCTTCACATAGGAGCAAATGGCCAGAGACACAATGCCGTGAACCCAAGCCTCCAGCCCCTACCAGCCAGAGACTTAGGTGGGAAGGAGAGGTTCAAAGTTTTATTCCAAAGGCAAATCTATTGGTGGTGACTTCCTGGAACACTATACTGAAGGGATATTTTGTTTTGTTTTGTTTTATGCTAAAAAAGAGAAAGGAATACAAACATCCCCCACTACCCAACATACATGCACACACACACACACACACACACACAAACACACACCTTGTGATTGGTTGTTATAACATGTCCATGTGGAAAGAGAAGAAAAATGGAACCCTTTATCCCACTTATCTACCTCATTCCTCCTTTCTACCCCCCCATAGACTATGTATCTCATAATTCCACATTTATATATGATCATATCTTCATCCAGTAGCCTTGGATGTTTAATAGTCTCTTCTGAGAACCAGGAAATCCATTACTAAAGCATATGTTATCGGGTCATATTACCAAAGCATACAAAACCGGAGGTAACTTAGTTCAAGGTCTTGAACACTATTAGCAAGATATGTTCTCAGTCTCTCTGCTTCTCTGAGTTGAAATCTGCTTTAATCTTGTGTTAGCTTTCTGTCATTGTGACAAAATACCTGAAATAAACAGCTTATAAGAATGAAAATGCTTATTTTGGCTCACGGTTTTGGAGGTTTCAGTCCATGGTCAGCTGGCTCTGTTGCTTTTGAGTCCATGATGAGGCAGAACCACATGGCAAGATGAGTGTGATGGAAAAGGTCTGTTCACGTTATGGTAGCTGTGAAGCAAAGACATAGGGACCAGAGTCCCAGTATCCCTCTCAAGAGCATGACCCTACCTCCTCCAGCTAGCCCTCAGCTCCTAAATTGTCAACCACCTCCTCCCATAGCACCAGAGACTGGTGACCAAGCTTTTGCATATATTCTTTAGAGGGCATCTAAGATTCAAGCTATAACAACTTCTCAGACTCATTTTCTCCATGCCACAGCTATGGCTACCATAAGCATTAGAAACACATCCATCACCTCAGAACCGGAAGGGAAAGACTCTATACGAGCTTTAATTTGGAGGGAAAAATATTCCCAGCAAAGAACTCTTACTGGTTTGGCTTGAAATGCAAACACATCTCTTACTATATTTGGGGCCCAAAATCTTACATTTTACAAATGTCTTCTCTGGGGTAATTTTGAAGTGTCTGGTTCACAGAGCATAGCACCTTATTTGATATCATGGCCAAAGGTCAGGTTCATGGCAAGGTTCTAATGAAAGTGGAAATAAGCAGCACAAGAAGGTTCCACCCTTTTTTCCAGCTGTCTCAAAATGTCTCCTATTATATTGGTTGCAGATTGAAAAAAAATCCTTTTCCTACTTCTTTAGTCCTAACATCATCACCAAAGTCTTAAAAGCCCCAAGCATCCATCTCCTAGCTAATCCATTGCCTCAGGCTCCAGAGTTTCATACTTGCCTTCCTCCGTAATGGCTAATATGGTACTCCGTCCGCTCCATGAGTACTGAGGTCTCATTCCCCTATTTGCTGAGAATAGGGTGGGTGAAGACTCTCAGCTGAGTCCCTTTCCAAAGACTACAATTAGATAACATCTAGTCTGAGGTCATATTCCCTAGCAGCAGTCTGCCAGCAATGACAGATCAACTCAGTGCAGAGGTATAAAGACCTGCTAGTCCTACTGCTATTCAATCCTTCATCAGCAGAGTCCTATTTGCTTATTATGATTTATCTAAAATATCCCCCCAGAATCTCATGTTTATGGAAGGTGACGGGATCGTGGGTACACTAGACTCATCAGTGGAGTCATCAGTTGATGCATTCAGTAGCTGAATGTGCTGTTGGATGTGGGGTCTCATTGAAGGTGTATCACTGTAGTCATGACCTGGAAGGGTGTATTCTTGTTGCCTGTTCCTTCTCTCTCTCTCTCTCTCTCTCTCTC